GAACTCACTCACTCATGCATTGCGTTGGAGGTTCAGCCTCCAACGTGGAGTGAGTAACGCTGGCTTTGGGCCGGTCTGGCTGAGCTCAGCGCCTGCTCCCAGCCCCCTCCTCCCCCTCCCCCTCCCTCCCTTTCTGGGTTATTCTTAGCAAGAGGTGACCTCAAAGTGCTCCCACGGAGCAAAAATAACCCTGGAGGAAGTTGATGAGTATAAATCTTCAATGAATAAAGACATATACCTAGTAAACAGGGCAGGGAGTCCTAAAGGGCTGGTCCCCCCCAGGGTCTGGTGAACAAGGGCAGAAACTCTCCCTCCTAGAGCCCCAGCTACAACCAGCGTGAAGGACAAAGGCAGTCGCAGGGTTTTCTGGGCCTGTGACCAGGCAGGAATCAGCTTTGGACACCCTCACTTGTTACTCTGCAACGTCCTCAGAGCTGGTGAACAGGAAGATGCCTCTTCCTCTCAGCCTGACACTCACACCCACACACAGGCTCACACCCTCCAGCCAGCAGAGACCAGCCCCGCACGCCACTGTCCCCTCCTCCGGCCACGGGCACTGGCCAGCCCACAGGCCCTGAGCCCAGGTGCCAGCTCCCCTCCTAGGCCCCGCCCAGCCCTGCAGCCGGCTTCCTGTTTCCTGTTGCCGGCTCTGGCTGTGAGCATCCTGGCTCTGAGGCCAGTGCCGCAGGCCAACAGGCTGCCGCCGGGTTTAAACGGGCCCACCTCTCACTCCTCAGACCGCAGCCTTCCCCACTTACCCACTGGCTCCCTGGTATTTGGGTCAGTCACCCTGTTCAGTTCTATTTTCTCTAGATGCTTTCTGGACCAGGTCCACACACTTTCCAACAGCCTTGCATTCATATATTAACTTAAAGGGAATTTTAGATACCCAGTCTTCCAGATGGTGCTGCTGGAATGGCAAGGAGCAATGAGCACTGTGGGCTTTGCAGCTGGGAGGCGTGGAGTCCAAGCCCAGTCCTCTCTGAACCTCAGTCTTTTCATCTGAATGTGAGGACGGCAATGACAGCAGCCCCCATCTACCCAACACAAGTTTATTGTCAGCATCAAATGAAGTCATGGTTGTAGAAGACCTCTGCAGGCAATCGAGTGCTGCACCACTCTCAGCCTTTCTTCACGGTCTCTGTCCTCAGCGAGTGGGTGGACAGTGCAATGTAGGGTGGCATAAATGGCAGATCTAGTGGAGGAGACATGCTCTCTCCACTGGCTTTTCCTACTATCTGGGTGAAAAACCAGGTTCTGGTTTTAGTTTTTTAGATTCTCAATCCACCAGGAAATGATACTTTTGTAAAATATAAAATCATGCACATGGATGTGGCGACAGTATCAAATTGATATAAAAGTTTCTAAATACTTATTCACAAGTTCTACACAGATGAGTAACAAACAGTTCGCAGACTGGTGCTTCTCAAGGTCAGGTGTGAAGACCCAAGCCTGGGACTGGTGGGCTGATATCCTGTCTTACCTCTCAGTGTTCATGTTATTTTTTTAAATTAAAAAATATTTGGGGGGTAGTAATTAGGTTTGTTTATTTAAATGAAGGTCCTAGGGATTGAACCCAGGACCTCATGCATGTTAAGCATGCAGTCTACCACTGAGCTGTAGCCTCCCCGCTTAGTGTTCATTTTAATTTTACAAACAGTTCAAAAGGGAGAGCCAGTGTGGGTCACGATGGCTGCACTAGGCTTCACTTGCAAGACAGGCTTTGGTGGGCTGTGACACTGGGTAGGCAGAGAGATGGGAAGGCAGCAGAACAGCTTATGAGGCAGTAGGACAAACATGCTTGCGGTGTTCAGGGAGCAGCAAGAAGACGAGGTTTCTTTGGCAAAAGAGATGACACTGAGCACAAGTGCGGAGGCAGGAGAGAGCACGTGATGAGGAGCCAAATGGAGTGTTCCCGGCCTTGTCCCATGAGAAATGGAACCCCTGGAGATCTCTGAGCAGAGACATGCCATGGGCTGTATTTAGTATAATTATGTGTGGCCTCCTCTCTAGCACACCAGGTTGAAATAAGTCTTATTTATTTGGCAGGTGCTCAGTAGGTGTAATGTGTTTATCATTGAAAAAAGAAGGGCTAGGGGTGGGAGTCTAGAGAGATGCTGGGGGCAGGTGGGATCTGGTCTGGGTGAGGGTGAAGCCAGGAGGCTGATGCAGGAGCAAGTGAAAGGTACCCAGGGACAGACAGGCCATGGGAGCAAAAGTTGCAGAGAGACGATTTCATAGCCTTGGGCCAGGGGGTGGTGAGGACACCACTGGATGTACCTCGTCCCTCCTCATCCAGCATGAGATGTGCAACGTTTGCACAAATCAAGAGCCCAGCCTGCAGCCACGTTTTCCTCTCTTGCTTCCCAGGGCTGCCCCTTCCGTTCCACCTGCCAGGATCTGAGCCAAGCTCCTCGCCTTTCCAGGCTTAGCTCGATGACACACACTCAGCTGCTTTAAAGCTCCCTGGTCAATCTGTTCCCAGGTTCACAGCTGGACCAAGTCCCCAGAAGCCCTCCCTGCTGTTCTCCTCTGCTAGGGAAGGGAGGAGGCCTGGGCAAGCACCTGTTCCATGAGTAAACCAGGTGGCCTGAGACCCGGGGGACTGTGGGCTGGCCCTGAGCTGCAGCACGACGTCCCACCCTCCCTCCCCCATGGGCTCCCTTAGGGGTCTGGGAGCCTGCTGCCAGAGAAGACCTGCAGGCTGTTTTCTCTGTTCCCCTCACTGTGCAAGGGGTTCCTTTCACAACAGTTGTCTCGGCCCCCTGCCTCCCCAGTCAGCACTGCCTTCCCCATGCTCTCTCTCCCAACCCGGGACCTCGCTCAAAAGTCCAGGTGGCTTCAGGTGTCACTTAGGACATGGGCTGGACCACATCCAGACTGACCTGCATGGGATGTGCACTCCCACTGGAGCTGATGAGAGGCTGATGCCAGACACTCATTGAAAGGCCTTACAGACCCTGGTCCACTGGCCCCTATAGGGGGACAGGTTTATGACACTGCCAACCCTGTGCATTTAGACTCCTCTTTGCTGTTTGCAAAGCACCCCTGGAGGTGGACAGGGCAGGTATTATTGACAGCTATATTTTACCAATGAGGAAGCAAAAGTTCAGAGAGGTTCAGTAACTTGCTAAGGTCACACAGCTGGGAAGCAGTAAATCCAGTGCTGCTGCTTCTGTTTCGGGTAAGAGCAGAGCCAGTCATTGCTGACCACTAGCTCTTTGGTGTTTCCATCCATTCAATTTTCACAGGGGTCTAGGAGGAATGCTCCTTTATTATCTTTCTTCTTCAGAAGAGGAACCCGAGGTTCAGGCAATGACTTTTTCAAGCCACACAGGTGGTCAGTGTTGGAGGTGGGATTTAAACCCAGTTCTTTTGGATTCTAAAGACTGTGCTCTTCCTTCCAGCTGGGCCCTGCTTCAGGCCAGGGGTGTATGACGCACTGACCCTTCGCCCACTGGGCCATGCCCCTCTTCCTTCTCATCTGTCTGTCTCCGGACACACTTCCACATACCTGCCTCTAATTTCCTTGAACCCTCTGTCCCTGGGGCCTCACCCCACCTCTCAGTGATGTGCCCTCCCTCTGGTTCCAGGGACTCAAAAAGATGGGTCAGAGGGTTGCCAGGGCTCACTGGCTACAGGTAGTGGCTCCCGTCCCTAGCACCTAAACCAGGGAAGGCGGAGTTTGCCCTGCAGATCATGGACACACATGCAGATCAGATATGGAATTACCAGTGGGCTCTGACTCAGCCTGGCTCCCCCTCCCACTCCAGCCTGCACTGAGCCCCTCCACTTTCTCCCACAAGCTGCCCAATGCAGGCAGGAGAGTGGAGGGATGCCCTGGCAATCTGGAAGTGCAGCCTGGAGTCTGCTGCAAGCTGGAAATTCCTTTGAAGTCTCCCATTTTATCTTTCAACTGCATGTGAATTTTTCATTCTGGGCCATGAAATATCCGTGTTTGCTTTCATATTAAAATGTTTAAAATTACTTACCAGTTAAATGACTTAACTTCTGCCCCTCTTCCCCTCCAAATCTCCAAGCAGAATTGGCAGCGGTGCACTTTAGTACCCTCCAGGTTCCCAAACCTCTTGGCTCTAAGAACCACCCCGTCTCCTTCAGCTGGTGCAGCCCTCCCTCCCGCCCTCTGCTGTCCTCTTTCACTGTGGCCACTGTTCACCTGGACTCTCTGCCCCAAGGGAGAAAATCCTGCCTTACTGAGAACATTTCCTTGAAGGGCTCCTGGCTTGTCCTTACCTTCTTGCTCCAAGTTTCCCATTCACAGCTGGAAGGGTTTAAAAGAAAGGGACCAGCTGTCTCTGGTGCCGGCAAATTATTGTTCTGCTTCTGAGTTTAAGACATAAGGCTGCAGGCTTCTACAGCCCACAGGCCTTGCCCTCTGGAGTACTCTCTGTCGTGGGCAACCCCAGAGCCCCCTTCCCCAGGTTCAGAGACAATGGTCCCCAGAAGCCTGGGGCTCGTGGGCCAGCCCTGGGGCCTACACTTCTACTAGATCTAAACAGCGCCCAGACCTCCTCCTCTCTTAGAAAGGGTCTCATCAGCCTGCATCTCTTGCCTGTTCACTTTGATCAGACTCCCAGACCTCAGTTCCCTTTCCCAGGCTCTCAGGTAGGGCAGAGAGAGTGGGTGTCTGGTTGCGGAGGGAGGAGCCCCTGCAGGCAAGCGAGGGAGAAACAAGTCCTGCCCTCCTGCTGCCCTTCCAGAAAGAAGGTGGGAGTCAGGGGTCTGGTTCAAGTCCCACAAGACCCACAGCGCAAGACCCCTAGCCTCTAAAGGCCTCCAGTTCAATACAGAAAATAGAAAGTTGTGGGGGTGCTTGTGGGATCTAGAGAATGGGGAATGGAACTGGGCTCTGCAGCTGGAAGGGCGCACCCCATCACCTGGTCTTAGCGTCCCCAGGTCCCTGCAGGACACACATCACTGGCGTTTAAGAGCATGCGTGTGCGCGTGCACGTGCGTGCTGCGGGGACACCGCCACTCACCGGGGGGTGCTTGCGCTTCCTCCCAGGCCGCCCCACCTTCCGTGCAGTCGTGCTGGGCTCCTGCCGCTCCTCCTTGCCACGAGCCTCCTCCTGCTCCTCTCCCTCCTGTGGGCACAGACACAGCCTGTGAAGCCAGGGCTGGACCCCAGAGCCCTGCCCACCATCCCACCCCTGTGGCAGCCGCACTTCCAGGGCTGTGCCACGCAGGTGTCCCTGGCAGGGATGGTTTTCCCCCCACCTCGCTTCCTGCCTGGTGAGGAACTGAGCAGCCCTGAGGGCCGCATTTAAGTCTAGCCTCGGGGAACTGCAGGGCCGACCCCGCTGCCCCAGCAGGACACACAGCTCTCCCTCCTGGTGGACACATTTTCTGAACCACAGAATCATAACACATGCTCCGACAAAGAATTTGTCTCTGAATATAAGTTTATTCATACAAAAAAATCTTACACAAGTACAAAAATGAAATTAATTATATACTGAATGAATCGCTTTTATTGAAAAGAAAATCACATGAAGGGAAATACGAAATTTAGCGGTGTATGTTGGAAGTACATGCAGCCCCTGGACGGAAGCCTGTCACGGACCTGGAGGGCGTTACAGCCGCTGTATGTATATCTGCCCGGAGGCACTTGCCATGTGGTGCTGACACTGCATGTTCCTGTCACCCCACAGGAGCATCTCAGGGACCATCACATCTTGGTTCATCTTGATGCCCCTCCTTCATTGAATTCTGGACCAGAAGTTTGGTTTTGTCACCACATTTCACCTGGCACCTGCCAGGGACGGGCTCTGCTGTGCTTGTCTCATGGGGCAGACACATAAACCTAGAAAGTCCTCGTGCCTCACTGCTCCAGCCTGGCCACAAACCACCCACAAGTCGCTTCTGACTCAGCGGGCTCCAGCATGACTAATCACGAGCAAAAAGCGTGTTGGGGAAGGAGAGAGAAAAAGACCCTGACCCAGTAGAGGACCCATAGTCATGCCCTGCATGATACCAGGCGCCACAGATGGCTTCATGTCCTCCTGCGGAGAGGCCAGCCCAGAGCCGTGCTGATGCCATGGAAAAGCAGGGAAGGTGCACAGATTCCCAGGGGATTTAATCACGATGGCCCTCAAAGTCCCACTCGACTTTCATTTTTTGTGATTTCAAAATAGCTTGTGGTTTGCCACATTAATTTTCAAGTGATGGTGGGACACGCAGATGGAAACCTACTGTCACCAATTGTAGACGTTAGACCAATGGCAAGAGAAGCACTGGCTCCCTCTGTCCATCCATCCACTCAAGGCATGTCTGGGACACACCCACCCAGAAGGGAGACTCAGGGTTTAGTTGAGGTTCCCAGTCCTCCAAAGACATGTAAGAGAGGCACAAGGCCTTAGCACCAAGGGGAAGCTACAGTCAAGTTGGAGTTGGAGAGCGTGTTCAGAGGAGCAGGAAGAGGACACCAGTGTATTGTGTGTGCAAGAAATAAAGGGAGCTGCCAACCCCAGAGGCAAAGTTGTTGAAGACAAAGCGATTTGGTTAGGGATGGAAATGGTCTGCCTTAGAGATAAGCTGTGCAGAATGGCATGGCAGTGAGGACCGAACGGCTGGGGAGGGGCTAAAGAGACAACTTAAGGAGCCCAGCTGAGAAAAGTCTGAAGGAAAAGCCAAGGACAGGGAGCCCAGAGCCGGCTGTGGACAAGAGAGCAGGGTCCAGGGTGGAGAGAGAAAGGCTGCTCTGTGACCAGAGACCCTTGAGAAACTCTTTTCAGGAAGACACAGCAGAGAAGCTGTGAGGGCAGAAAGGCTGAGGTGGGGGACAGCCAAGGGTGGGGAGGCCTCCATGAGAGACCTGGGGAGCCCAGGGCCATACGCCCCATGTAAGGCCAGGCTTGCTAGTGCCGAGCTGCCTTTTGAGACCCCCACAGATAACCCCCATTTAAGAAACAATCACTGGGATCATACAGAGAGGAAATATTACCAAGACAGCTTAACTTTTTAAAATTCAAGTATAGTTGATTTACAACATCGTCTTAGTTTATGGTGTACAACATAGCGATTCAGTTATAGATATAGATAGATTCTTTTTCATTATAGGTTATTACAAGCTATTGAATATAGTTCCCTGTGCTATACAGCAGGACCTTGTTGTTGATCTATTTTATATACAGTAGTTTGTATCTGCTAATACCCAATTCCTAATTTATCCCTACCCTCCCCTTTCCCCTTTGGTAACCGTAGGTTTGTTTTCTATGTCTGTGAGTCTGTTTTTATTTCATATATAAGTATATTTGTGACACTTTTTTAGAGTCCACATAAAAGTGATAACATATGATATTTGTCTTTCTCTGACTTACTTCATTTAGTGTGATAATTTCTAGGTCCATCCATGGTGCTACAATGGCATTATTTCATTCTTTTTATTGCTGAGTAATATTCCATTGTATATTTATACCACTTCTTCTTTATCTGTTCATCTGTTGATGGACATTTAGGCTGTTTCCATATCTTGGCTATTGTAAATAGTGCTGCTATGAACATTGGGATGCATGTATCTTTTCGAATTAGAATTTTCTTCAGATAAATGCCCAGGAATGGGATTGCTAGATCATATGGTAACTCTATTTTTAGTTTTTTAAGGATTCTCCATCCTGTTTTCCATAGTGGCTGCAACAAATTACGTTCCCAGGAACAGTGTAGGAAAGTTCCCTTTACTCCACACTCATTTCAGCATTTATCCTTTGTGGATTTTTTTGTTTTAATTGAAGTATAGTCAGTTACAACGTGTCAATTGTTTCAGTCACACATATACATACATTCATTTTCAGATTTTTCATTATAGGTTACTACAAGATATTGAATATAATTCCCTGTGCTATACAGAAATTTGTCTTTAATCTGTTTTATACATAGTAGTTAGTATCTGCACATCTTGAACTCCCAATTTATCCCTTCCCACCCCCTTTCCCCTCAGTAACAGTAAGTTTGTTTACTGTCTGTGAGTCCGTTTCTGTTTTGTAGTTGAGCTCATTAGTATCTTCTTTTTTTTTTAGATTCCAGATATAAGTGATATCATATGGTATTTTTCTTTCTCTTTCTGGCTTACTTCACGTAGAATAACGATCTCCAGATCCATCAGTGTTGCTGCAAATGGCATTATTTTATTATTTTTATGGCTGAGTAGTATTCCATTGTATATATATATACCACAGCTTCTTTATCCAATCCTCTGTCTATGGTCATTTAGGTTGTTTCCATGTCTTGGCTATTGTTAAGTAGTGCTGCTGTGAATATTGGGGTGCATGTATCTTTTCAAATTTGAGTTCCCTCCGGGTATGTGTCCAGGAATGGGATTGCTGGATCATATGGTAAGTCTATTTTTACTTCTTTGAGGACTCACCGTACTGTTTTCCATAACAGCTGTACCAAACTACATTCCTACCAACAGTGTAGGAGGGTTCCCTTTTCTCCACACCCTCTCCAGCATTTATTATTTATGGACTTTTTAATGATGGCCATTCTGACTGGTGTGAGGTGATACCTCATTGATTGTAGTTCTGATTTGCATTTCTCTGATAATTAGCAGTATTGAGCATTTTTCCATGTGCCTATTGGCCATTTGTGTGTCTTCATTGAAGAACTGCTTGTTTAGGTCTTCTGCCCATTTTTGGATTGGGTTGTTTGCTTTTTCACTATTGAGTTATATGAGCTGTTTATATATTCTGGAAGTTAAACCTTTGTCAGTTGATCATTTGCAAAGATTTTCTCCCATTCTGTAGGTTTTCATTTTTTTAAATCAAAATATTTTATTGTTTTTTTGGGGGGGGATTGGGTTTGTTTGTTTGTTTGCTTGTTTGTTTGTTGATTTTAATGGTGGTCCTGGAGATTGAACCCAGGGCCTCATGCATGCTACGCATGCACTACCACTGAGCTATACCCTCCCCACAAATTGTCATTTTGCTTATGATTTTCCTGCACAAAAGCTTATAAACTTGATTAGGTCCCATTTGTTTATTTTTACTTTTATTTCCATTGCCTTGGTAGACTGCCCTAGAAGAACATTGCTAAGATTTCTGTCAGAAAATGCTTTGCCAATGTTTTCTTCTAGGAGGTTATAGTGTCTTGTCTTATATTTGTCTTTAAGCCATTTTGAGTTTCTTTTTATGTATGGTGTGAGGGAGTGTTCTAACTTAATTTACACGCAGCTGTCCAGTTTTCCCAACATCACTTACTAACGACACTTTCTTTTCTCCATTGTATATCCTTGCCTCTTTTGTCAAAGATTAATTGACTGTAGGTCTGTGGGTTTATTTCTGCGCTCCCTATTCTGTTCCATTGATCCATATGTCTGTTTTTCTGCCAATACCACACTGTTTTGACTACTGTAGCTCTGTAGTATTGTCTGAAGTCTGAGAATGTTATTCCTCCAGCTTCATTTTTTTCCTTCAGAATTGGTTTGGCAATTCTGGATCTTTTGTGATTCCATATAAAGTTTAGGATTATTTGTTCTAGTTCTGTGAAAAATGTCCTGTCATTTGTGGAAGTTTAAATGATGGTCATTCTAACTGGTGTGAGGGGCTCCCTCATTGTAGTTTTGATTTGCATTTCTCTGATAATTAATGCAGCTTAATATCTGTGAAGGTTCTGACTGTATCTACACAAGTGCAGGTGAATTTCAGGCTGAGATGGTGCTTTTGGTCTGATTCTACCATGGCTAAAAGGACGCCACCTTAATCATGCTGACCAGGTAACTCAGCATTTACAAGACAGTTGGAGGCCATGGGAAGTTGTGGAAAGGCACAGGGCTTAGAGCAAACTGAAATAGGTATGAGACCGGCTTGTCCATGTGCTAGATCCAGGACTGTTCTCTCGGAGCCTCAATTTCTCATCCGTAAAATGGGGGTATGAAGGTGATTTTTTTTTTTTTTCTGCCTGCTTCTCAGGTTTTTAAGAAGACAGATGAACAAATGGTTTATCCCTTTGTCTGTTTTGTTCACTGCTGAATTCCCAGAGCCCAGAGCAGGCCCAGCACTTAGAGGGTTTTCCACATGTCCCCAGATGAGAGGACTATTTACATATTCCCCAGGGGCAGGAGGCTCACCTCCTACCTATGCTTGCCCAGAGAGCACTAGGCCAGACCTGGCTGAGCCTCTGACCGTTCCTGGTGGTTGGGCCCATGGGACCATAATGCACGGGGCTGCAGCCCAGAGGGGTGCTGAGGTGGGTCAGAACCAGTTGGGGCAGCCATGGAGTCTGGAAAGATTCCTACCACCCAGAAATTCTGGGCTATGAACTATTTCTTTAATGAACGGCATTTCTTACAGAGAGATCCACTTGCTTTTCTAACTTTTACTCTAAACTAATCAGAGACATGAAAGCCAATCAAAGCCACAGATCAGCACTAAGGAAGCATGGTTATTAGGCCACACTAAAACCAAGATACCTGCCCAGCAAGCCCCATCTTCCACTGGCATATGGAGAAAGTCTTTGAGGGCCCCTGATAGGCCACCCCTGTGCCGTCTGGAAACTTGCTGTCATTCCTCACCTTAAGCCAGACATGTACTCTGCACAGGAGATGCTCAGCACATCTTTCCCTGTTGAACTTAATTCAGTGCGGCACTCTCAGGAGGAAGGGGTGGAGGGCCCTGACACCACACCACCTGTCCAGGTCCTGGCACGTTGAGAACAGGGAGCCCCAGGGCCGCACACTTAGCCTGTTCCTCAGGCCAGGGGGTTGGCGGGTGTGTGAGGGGCACAGCACTCAATGCCCAGTTCAGCACCCGGGTCTCAGGTACCCTGGGGTGTGCTTAGGAAACCAACTCTCCATGAGAGCTCAGGTCAGGACACGCACCCAAGTCTGAGCGACTCCAGCCAACACTTTCTATCCAGTCCTAAAGCACAACTTTGTGAAATGCACGTTCTTTTTGCCAACATGCCATTCTTCCAAGGTGTAGTGCCATGAAGGGCGAAGGAAGGTGGCAATACCTTCTGCTCTGGGCCTGCCTACGTTCACACCCATGAGTGAGAGGGATGATACACTGAGCAGGGTGAGCAGATGGCTCGGGGCCGTGCCCCTCAAGGAGGCGTATCGAGGGGTTCATTCTCGCATCTGTCACGGGGCCTATTTCATTCAATATCTTTGCTGATGGGTTGAGCAAAGGAATGTAAAATATGCTTATCAAATCTGCAAGTAGCACTGAGCTAGGAGGCGTCACTAATACTCTGAAAGGGAAGAATCTGATCCACAGTGACTTGGAGCAGCTGGAAAACAGTAACAAATTTAGCAGGAACAGATTTGAGACCAGGTTGGTTTCCTCATCTGTCAAGTGAGGGGACTGAATTAGTCAGTCCTTCCAGTGGGTGGTGGCAGGCGCGGGGCAGAAAGTCTAGTGAGATGGGCTTTGGAGAGGGTGGGGGCAGGCTGAGCTTTCACTCTGCTCTTTACTCACTAGTCCCTTCCAGCTACTGAACCTCTCTGAGTCTCGCTTTCCTCACCTATAAAACGGGGAGGGGAATATCTACTTCACAGTAATGCTATAACAATTAAATGAAGTAATATGTGGAAAGCTGACACGTGAGAGTCACTCAAGAATTGTTAACTTCCTCTGCTCCCTCCCTGTCCCTAGGCAGATCCCAGCTCACCGCCCCGCATGTGCAGCCATCACTCACGGCTACAGACAAACCCCAACATCTGGCTGGTCCCGCTGCAGTGAGATACTCAAGAACACTGGGGCTCCATGGTCTTTCCAAAATGCAAAGCTGATTATGTCACTCTGCAGAGCTTAAGCCCTTGCTGAGGGGGCTCCCAGGGCCCTGCAGGATCAAGCCAAGCTCCTTAGCCCCGGTGAAGGAAGCCCCTAAGATCTGGCCAGCTGCCCCGCAACCCATCGCAAACTGACCATGCCAGGTGCAAAAGCGGGCTGCTTCCCTCCCCGGGACCTTGGCATAGACCCTTCCTTCTGCCCTGACTACCGTCTCCTCAGGTTGGCCAGCAAGCCCTGACTTTTCCAACCTCACTTCCCTTCCCCTGGGTCCCTCCCATATCCTACCTAGACGGAGTCCATGTGTCCTCCCTCTCCTGTAGCGCCCATAATCCAAGTGCCCACAATCCAGTGCTGCAACCGCCAGCGATCATCCTAGCCAGGCTACAAGCCCCTCGAGGGAAGGGACTATGTCTTATTCACTTTGGCATTCATCCCTAGTGCCTAGAGGGAGGCTCTGGCACAGGGCAGGCACTCAAAATACTTGATGAGTGACTGTCACATAGTAGGTGCTCAGTAAACGTGTCCATACACATAGAGAAAGGCAACCTGTAAAAATCAACAAACCTGCACCAGTACAACCAGGTAGGAGACTCCAGTGCTGCTCAGATCTTTAAGACTCCAAATCAGGAAACAGGATGACTAAAATGTATCTTCTAGGCTTAAACATAATCATGTCACTTTACATTTATGTAACTTTTTACAGCTTTCAAAGCCCCTTCACATTTGGTGGCCTGTTAGATTAAGTAGTTACCATCAGCCTCTCTCAACTTCTGAGGCTATGATTTGACCTACATTTTAACACAGCTCACTGGATGGATTATTTTAAGCCACACACAACTTCTCATTCTGATGAGCTGGGCCATGACAATAATAATCTCTCATTTGTACAGTACGTGGTAATTAACAAAGCATTTTCACATACGTTATTTCATTTCATTCTTAACACTTTACAGAAAGCAGAACTGGCATTATTTTTTCCCACTACCCAGGCGGGAAATCTGAAACTCAGAGTGGTTATCTAACTTTCAGAGATCGGAGAGCCAGGAAGGGAGGCCTTTAGAACCCAATTTTAAGTCCTTCGATTCCTAGCCCAGGGGTCTTTCCACAGCAACATGCCACTACACCGTATGCTACTGACATAGGTGTGTGCACGTGTAGACACAGACATAGACACACACACACACAGAGAGACCATGAGCAGGCAGGCAAGCCACGGTAAAGGTTACACTGGCATTCACATGCACACATCCACACAGAGTGTCTCAGGGGCCTCATGCCTAGACAGGGACCCACCCCCTAAGAGAGACACGTCCCCCAAGGTCCTCACCCAGAGACAGACAGCTACATGTACGTGCTCCCTTCAGAACGTACACCGGATGCTCCGGACCCAGCATCCGTTGAGCAGATGTCTCAAGTTGGTGTGTGAGTCGAGGGGATGAACTTGCCGGATCTAGTCAGCCACTTGCCCGGGCCCCCTGGGACAAGAAGCACGTACAGCCTTTGCCAGCTGGCTGGCCGGCCTCCCAGGGCCTGTCTGTGGTCGTGGAATTCAGTGAAACGAACTGGCTTCTCCGGCAGGCGGAGGCCCCCTCCGGGCTGCCTGAGCACCAGGCACACAGAGGTACGGGCACACAGGACCTGCAGACCACACCGCGCTCACACACGCACAGACCGGTGCACCCAGGCCAGGCTCGCAGAGGGCTGTGCCCCAGGGCGTGCTGCAGGAAGACAGGCGGGCGGGGCAGGGGCACCAGGAGCCGCTGGGGATGCAGGGGCTTCCACACAGCCCCCCAAAAGCCCCCCTGCCTTTTGTGCTCTCCGTCACCTCCCAAAGCTCACCAGGACTTTGTTTCAACAAATCAACATTATTCAACAAGTATTCACTGACTGCTTGGTGAGTTTTGTATTATAATTATTGATGAAGGTCTCCCATCCCTTCCAAAAGGTCACTCTCCTGAAGAGCAGCGGCCTCTCCAAGGCCCCCCAGCTCCCAGGTACCTGCACATGTGGGTTTTCCCAGGCCCTGTGCACCATGCAGGGGCCCTACTGCCTTCCAGAGTTCCCCAAGCATGCAGCCAGGCCAGCACAGCCCAGCTGTGCCCACCTTTGTGGCCCTAGGTCCACCATGAGGCCAGGCCCGCGGGCATGCCTCAAAACATTTACTGAACACCTACTGTGTACTGGCTATAAAGATAAGCAAATAGAGAACTCCATTCAGAAGGAGAAACACCACAGAGACACACAAGTGCCTGACGCTGTGCTGAGGGTCGGGATAGAGTACACCCACTCTGCTTGCAGCCGCCTCCAAGGCCCCCAAACCCACCCTCATTCGCTTCTTCGGCAGCCCACCAGGCTCTGTGCAGCCCCACATCTCATCCCCACCTCACTAGGCAACCTAGACGGAAAGAATCCAGACTAAACTACTTCATAGCCATGTGACCTTTGCCAAGTTTCTCAACCTTTCGAAGCCTCAACTCCTCATCTGTGAAATGGGGATAATCACAGTGGGTGCCTCGAGTTATTGTGAAGATTACGTGAGATAATTGTTGGACAAAGGAAACTCCCTTAGATGTTAAGTGGGATGATTATAAGTAATAGCCCTAATTGCCCTGTGGCTTCGCACAGAGGCAGCTGCAGGGCAAGACCTGGCCCAGTGCTCAACCCAGGTGCCAGAAAGGAAGGGCATCCCCCCATTTCTCAGTCGTCCTGGGACACCCACTCCAGCCCAGCTCCCTCTGCAGAGCTGAGCTCAGCTTCCCCACCTAGGCCCTGGGGCACCAGCTTCCTGGCCAGGATGGGCCCCATCCCCAGCCTGGTCGGGGATGAGGGACCTGAGGGACCTGGAGCCCAGCTGTGGCCCCTCACACAGGCCTCTGAAGGTGGCCACAGCCCCTGCCATCAGGAGTGAGGTCATCTTGCAACTGGCCTTAGTTTCGCTTCTGTTCGAGGGTAAAGGGAAGAGGGGCCCACAGGCCTGCTGTGCCTGCAAACACTGGGACAAGTAACCTTCTTCCACACGCCAGCTTCTCAGGGGACTTGAAACCCACACCATTCGCACTCTCACCTGCATCTTCCCCACTCTTCTCCACGCCCTGCAGTCTCTGGGGCCACAGTGCATCTTCACCGCAAGTGTGTTGATAGGTTGGTAGATAGACAGCTAGTTAATAGTCCAAAATAAATTCTAAGACTAACTTCAGCTGTGCCAGGTCCCTGTGTTAACCACTCTCACATGCTGTCTCGGGTAAACCTCTCATTTCCCTGCTCAGCAGTCATGCAGCCGAGTCCATATTCAAACACAGGTCTGTCTCCAGAGTCCAAGTGACCCCCACTCAAGGCTGCAGTGACTGCAAAGTAAAACTTGACATGTAAGAGCATCTAACTTAGAGAAGCTTAGAGAAACTGAAGCTTAAAATACAGGTCCTGGTCAGCTTGGGAGTGGGCACTACTTACATCACTGTCTGCTCTCCACACTGGAGCATCTAATCGACTCCACTGAGCTGAAAACGGATGCGCCATTATTACCAGCTGTGTTCCTGAAGAGGTGAAGGCAGAACTACCTTTTCTGGAACTGTTTAAGTGCATCAGAGGGATACTATTTCAATGACCCCCATAGTGACGATTATAAAGCAAAGAACAGGCCTGAGTGGCCATGTGTGGGCATCTGAGTGCACTAAAGGCAGAGCGTGCCCAGGGGCTGGCACCGGATCTGTGGGCCAGGAGGAACAGCTGAGAGTGGAGCCAGGGGGAACCCACCCAAGGATGCCCTTGAGCTTGAGAACCAGAGCACAGGAAGTGGTCGGCACCCAAGGGAAATCAGTACACGCCAAGCCTCTGGGTTGGACTTAGGTGAAGAGGGAGGAGCCCCGGCATACACACATGTACACACACACACACGCACACGGGCACACTTGCTGTGCTCCCCCTGCACAAAGGAGGACCTCCCTCCTCCAGGCATGGCTTATTCATCCTTGTATCTTCCTATCCCCTTCCCTTTACTAGGTCCTCCAGCAATGTTTATCCTGTTCATCCAACAGATTTGTGGAGCCCTACTGTACCTGGAAAGGTACCTAAGTCTGAAGAGAAGGAAAGAGAAGCTATGTGTACAGAGAGGAAAGGAGAAAGAGAAAGAAGCAATGTGTCCCAGCTGTGTCTTCACAGAAAAGCGTGTATCTTGTGTGTGTGTGCATGCAAGTGTGCACATGCACCCATGGTCACGCATGTAAGCCGGTGTATGTGAACCCCTGCTGGAGATGAAGTGCCCCCAACCTCCACCTCATGTAAGAGCACAGCTACACAGAGAAAAGCTTTCTCTGACCATCCTGACTTTTTGTTTACATACACATTCTTGAACCTTCAGCAGAAGAACGTGGATCGGACTATGGAACCTCACAGCTGGGAGGCACCGTCCACTCTATCCCCCTCCACACAGGAGGCAGCCTGAAAGGCACAGAAGCCTGGGTTTCAATTCCAGGACCATCACCACTTGCTAGCTGTGTGGCCTTAGACAAATGACCCAACCTCTCTGAGCATCAGTTTAGTCTTTGATAGGATAGAGTGATAAAAATAATAGAGCCTATCTTATGGAGAAATTGTAAGGATGAAATAAGATGATGCAAATACAGAGCTTAAAAGAGCACCTGGCAGATAGTCAGCACTCAATGCATCTGTTGTTTCTGAGGCCAGAGGGAAGGGGGAGCTTAAGATCAGGGGCCCAGCCCGGGATCTGCACTCGTGGCCAGACACTGATTCACATTTGGGGATCTGAGGACGCCCTTCCAGCCCCAAGGCTTGGAGTGCTCTTGGTCCCCTTTCCTGCTCCCTCTCCCCTCTCCCTCCTCCGCACGAGGCCTGGCACCCTAGCTCCATGATCCCCTCTGAGCCAGGACCAAGGCTCCTGGCCTCCCTGCTGCTCACCTCCCTGCCCGGCTCCCCCTCCCTTTTCTGTGGCCACATTTACCCAGCTGACCCTCCCCAGCCAGAGCCCCAGAGCTCAGCCCTCCCTGCCCAACGTATGCATGGTAGGGTGGGGGAGGCTGCAGGGAGAAGGGATGCTGGCCCGACGCCAGAGGACACCACATACCCAGACGTCTACAGTCCCGGCCACAAGCATGGCCGCCTCCCCCTGCCGGCTTGATCCAGGTTCTGGGATTGTCCTCCTGTGGAGAGGTCTTATCACTCTCAACTTCCTTTCTATCCAAGCCACAAAACACGTCCTGAGCACCTACTCTGTGCTAGTCAGGCCTGAGGAGTCAGACGGCAGTGGCTGGGGCCCTGCCCTCCAGGGGCAGCACGGGGCTGGATGTTAGCCACACTGTACTTTTCAAGTCTCCGAGAGGGCCGGTGAGAACAAGGACTGCTGGGTCTCGTCGCCAGGTTCCTGACTCAGCAGGCCGGGGTGGGGCCCGGGCTGTGGCATGTCTAGCCCTTCCAGGTACCACTGGTACTGCTGGTCTAGGGATCACATTTGGAGAACCGCTGGTTCTCTCTGTGATTCAAGGCAGACTGAAGCCAGGCCTTTGATCAGAGAGGAGGAAAGAAAATCAGGGAAAGGGCATACCAGGCAGAGGACGCAGCATAAACAAAGGCCTGGCAGCTCCAGGAAGCCCTGGAGTGAAAGGTGCACGAGGCGTGGCCAGGAGGGCGGCGGGAAGGGCATGTGGGGCCGGTGGTGAAGGGGCCACTGGGCAGCCACACCCCTTCCTCTGGCTCACCCAACAGTTCCTTTGTGCCAGGTGCCCCGGGAAACTCCGCCAGGCTCCTTGGGCCGCAGCCCAAGCCCATCTTCCCCTCTGCAGCCACACAGCACCCCTGCCCCAGGCCTGGCTTTCGCAGGCTGCAGTGGGCGGCTGTCAGCGCCTCTGCCCACCCTCCCAGGGCAGCTCCCTGGAGCTGTGGGAGCCAGCCCAGAGGTGCCAGGGAGGTGTGCCAGGTGAGCCAGCGTGCAGACCGGGGAGGGGCACTCGCCCCTGTCTATCAGCTCCCTCCATCAGCACCCGGCTCGGGGCCTGGATGTGCGTGTGCTGCCTCTCGAGCCAGAGCAGTTACTATGGGTGGATAATAATAGCAATCGTAATCCCTCATAATTGGACCAGACTTTGCTGTTTGCAGGGCACTCCATGCCCATGACCTCATCTGACTTCCACAACCACCCCATAAAACAGGCATGGCTAGAGTTACTATCCCCATTTTACAGCTGAGCAAACGCAAGCCCGGAGGGCCTGAAGTCACATCTCCAGTAAGTGACACACTCAGGCCTTGGGCCCGGGACTTGTGACTCTCCGTCCAGTGCTTTTTCTATGTCCTGAACTGTTGTGATAGAGAGCCTGTCTGCTGCTCCCCAGGGGAGGGGCTGGGGGCTCTGTAGCCTAGGAAAGCCCTACTCAGTAACAGGAGGAATGTGACCCAGCTGTCCTCACCACCCCCAACCGGGGGAGGCGGGTAAGCTGACCCCCAACTGCAAGTGCATGAACACGGAGCTGTGTCAGCACCAGTCAGGACATCAGACAGGGGGAGAGGGGTCAGGGTCACCTAATCTAACAAAGGAGTAAAGCCAGGCCCAAGAAGGGGAGGGGATTATCTATGGCCACAGCTGCCACTCAAGAGCACAGGTGGCTGCAGGTGGCCCTGACTCTGTGGCGGCAGGGTCTCGGTCTGCTGCTGCCCGAGTCCTAGGTGGGAGTAGCCCAGAGGGCCGTGGGATCAGAAAGAAGGGGACTGACCTGTAACTCCTAGGAGCCCTGCCCAGTGGCCCCCATCCCGTGGCACTCTGCAGAATTCTGGGCTGAGAAGGCAGGTGTCTGGCCTTCATGCCTGCCTGTGTGTATGTGTGTGTCCAAGCCAGGACCCACACAGGTGGAGCAGTGGAAAGGCTCTGATGCAGGAGACCAGGCTCTCATCCTGGACCCGACCTGCTGAGTAGCCAGGCTCAGCTTCCTTGTCTGCGAACCATGGCCATCTGTCCTTGCCCCACTTGTTTCAAGGGTTGTCCTCAAGGACCAAAAGATGGAAACCACCCGAAAACAGAAACTGGCTGTATAAACGAGCCAGCCCAAAAGGAGTGGAGCACGCGTTGGGGGAGGGTAAGCAGGGAGCAGATCTGGGAACTGCCCTGATGGTGGGTCAGCAGAGTGGACACTCCTCTGAGTGCTCAGAGGCCCCACACCTGGTGCCAGGGGTCCACTCTGGTTCCAAAGGGACATAGTGTGCCCCATGAGCATGCTCGGCTACTCCCAGATACCACCAAGCATCATACCCCACTCCCCTGCTCAGGGAAAGGGGAGCAGGCAGACGGAACTGTGGAGACCAGGATCAGCAGGTGGGGTTTATCATTCCACTGACAGAGGGGAAACAGAGTCCAAGTGCTGGGGATCTGAGTGCCTTTGCCTACAGGTGGGCACTGTTTGTTGAGGTTCCAAGGCCACCCGTCGGGACCCGGCAGGGACTCCTACGTCTGCTGTGATCTCCTTGAACTGATTTAGGCCCATACTGGAGTTCGGCAGAAGGGTGAAGAGGTCATCCCTCACAGGGCCGGAGATCACTAGCTCCATGGCCAGGAAGTGACACTTGCTTGGAGCCTAGGGTAGGGGCGGGAAATCACCGTCTCCCCGGTGACGGTGACGGGGGAGCCCTGAGCACACAGAGCACCGAGTGAGCCTGCCTGCCTGTCTGCACCACAGAGGGAGCCCTCAAGGGGCCTAACATCGAGAGCCCCCTAAACTTGTCTTTGGCCTCCCAGAAGCTACCAAACACCTTGTGGAAACAGGCAACTAAACCAGGTAAGGTGACTCACCTAAGGATACACAAGTAATAAGATGCTGACGCAGAAAGGAAGACAGTTTTGGGGACTCTGCCAGGCCAACCCCTAACAACTGCACAGACTTGGGGTTGGAAGCTCTGCTCAAGCACTACAAGGGTTAAAAGCCTGGGTCCTGGGGCCCGACCACCAGGATATAACCTCTCCAAGCCTCAGTTTGCTCACTGACACAAGGAGGCCCATCCTCCCTACAGCCCTGTGTGAAGACTGAACGACCCCCAGCGCTCCCCGGAGCTGTGTTTCTTGGGGATGGGCCCTGCCCTCCCCTCCCTTCCCGGGCTCGGCTGGAGGGTCCCCAGTAGAGCCGGCTGCTCACCTTGCGGTCCTCCTCCCGCTCCGGAGCGGAGCCGCTGGTGTCCCCGGGGCCGCTAGCGGGCATCGCGGGCATCGCGGGCAGCTGGGCGGTGGGAGGCAGGCTGGGGCTGTGTGGGGCTCGGGGGCTGCTTGGCTTTGGGGAAGGAATTATCCTGGTCTTGGTCAGCAGGAGTTAAAACTTAGACATAGATCCCAGTGTGGTGAGTGCGGAGTGAAACTGGTGAAACTCGGCCTCAGGCTGCCTGTGGGGTTGGGCTTCCGATGGCTCCACCTGTGGGGGAAGAGAAGAGGGGTCAGCAGGGCAGAGCACCCCAACCCAGGCTCCACCTGGCACCCCCCCAATCCCTCCTGGGGCCAGGCCCTCAGCTTCAGGGCCACACTGGCCTGTAAGGCCTGCTCCTCTGACCTGACTCCTTTTCCCAGGCTCACAGGCAGCCCAGCACCCCCGGGAGTGGAGAAACTGAGGCCAGCTGGGTGCACCGCCCCGCCTGGCTTCCCTCAGGGCTGCCTCCTGCCTCCCTCAGCCTCCACGTTGCTGTGGCACAGTGGGCGCCACTTCTGGGACCTCCAGCTGCCTCCCGCCTCCTCCCTTCTCTTCATTCACGTCTGTTCTTTGCTTTGAAAGCTTCCCGCACCCTCCCTCCCACCCCAACCACCCCCCTGGGAAATCCCAGAGGTCCCCAGCCCAGCTACGTTTTCCTTCTAATCTGTCCTCCCCACACCCCCCACCCCCACACCGCTCCCACCACGTGGAGGAAGTGAGCCGCAGTCACAGGATGTAGTGAAATGAATGTCACCTCACTTTAGGACCAGCGTCTGGGCCCAGAGAAAGCTGTGGCTGAATTCGGGCTGAAGGCCTAGGTTTGCAGGGCTGTTGAGGGGAGGCCCTGGCCGGGAGAGGATGCCAGGCCGCTCTCTCCCCAACCCCGTGAACTAGCCCCATCTGCCCTGGGAACCTGGTGGGCTCGAGGGGGCCCTGCGTACACACAGGGCTGAATTTTAGGGGCTTTTCAGCCTCCCCGCTTCAGGTATGGGCCGCAAGCCAGTGAACTAACAAAGCCCGTGCCGCAGGCCTCAGCTGGGGGTGGGGGTGTTGTGGCTTCAACCCCCGTCACTCGGAGACACAGAGTTCTCCTGCTCCCCACCCCCTAGGAGAAGCCCAGGCCAAGCCCCCGCCTCCAGTGCGCCAGCCAGAACGGGGAGGGGACTGGCAGGAGGAGGAAAGAGGGAGGCAGGCTGGATCTGGGCCCACCCACACCCTTCCCCTTCCAGTTCCCGGTTCTGCTTCCCTGCTCCCCCTCCCTCCTGGACTTCTTCTCCCATCCCCCTCCAGCCAGGGCTCCCTGGAAAACCAGGAGCCGGAGAAGACACAGGCTCGGGTCTCTCACGGGCTCGGCCCCTCCCCAGGGGCCCCAGACGCAGGGGCCCCAGTCCCAGCTCTGCCGCAGGTGTGGATGGGGAGCTGGAGCTGGGAGGAGCCTCCTTAGGGACAGGACATGGGGGTGGGGGGTGGGCATCAGTTAAAGCCCGGGACAGGCTGATGGTGCTCCCTGCCCCACAGGTGAGCCCTACAGAAACCGCAGGTGTAATGCATGCGTCTAAGCTCAGCACAGCTGTTTCTAATTCGTTGCCCTAATACACAGGTGAGTAGACAGCAAGACTGAGAGCAGCCCCCTGGGTCAGCCGCTGTGTGAAGCATGTGGTGGGTCTTCCTTCTTCGGGCAGCTACTAGCATTCCTACTCTCTACTGTTGAATCTAAGGCTCAAAAAGTCTAGGACTTGTCCATGTTCCAGGGTCAAAGCAGAGGGCTGAATCCAGATCTCTCAACTCTAAAGCTCTGAGGGGGTCACTACGAAGCGGCATCCCTGACTTACACCCTCACACCACCCCACAGAGACAACTCCCGAGAGCCCACCAGAGAGCCAGTCCCACCCAAGAACTCCACGAGGCCTCCGTCCACCCTCGGTCAGCGATTCCCCCTCAAAGCCCCTCCCCGTTTGTGAGCACAGACCTCCCCGGTCACCCCCACATCAAAACCTTCAAAAGGATGCAGAAGCTGAAAGAGGCAGAGCCTGGTTGGGAAGAACACTGAAGCCGGAGTCAGCAGATGTGAGTTCTCAACCAGACTCTGGCATCTCTGGCCCTCAGCTTCCTCAACCATAAAATGGGAGAGCTGGACTAGATGGTGTTCAAGAATGTCTTCTAGTTCCGCCCAGCCAAGCTTTTTGCTTTTGGAGGCCCCAAGGGCAAAGGGCAGGAGCAGACAAGGCTGGGCCGACTTCAGGAGCCCCTGGAGAGCCCTGTACAAAGTCAGAGGCAGATAAGGATCCTTGTCTCAATGCTGCCCTGAGGCCTAGAAACATCCAGGGTCTTCTGTAAGAAAAAACACTTTCAGAGAACCTCTGGTTGCTAGTGAGAAGAGGAAGGAAGCAGGAGGGAAAAGCAGAACGTCACAGGGTGTTGACCCTGAGGGCAGACGCCCCGGAAAGAAACAGAGAGGAAAGGAAATGCTCTTTCCTCCTCCCCTCCCTCCACTCACCCCCTGATATGAGCAGCATGCACTGTCCTCACAACAAACGCAGCTGACCCAGGTCAGTCTTTAGGTTCCATTGTGTATGTGACTCAATCAATCAGACTTGTCAGTAAGTGTCCCTCAAAGTCACCCAGCATCATCTAAAACCATCCAGCACCATCCAGGCAGGCCATGCACTGCACAGCTCCAGCACCCACTGTCATGGCCAAGGTCCAGGCCTGGACACAGTGCTTCCCGCCTGCCCTTAGAAGCATCCTTCTTCTTCCAAGCAGCCGTGCCAAGGGGAGAGACCTGCTCCTGGACCCACAGTCCCAACACAGCAGCATATGTCTACCATGGCGGTCCTACGCCAAGCACAGCCCTGCTGCTCCTGGCACCAAGGCATCGTCCTCACCCACGCCAAGGGCTGCACCACAAAACCAGCACCAAATAAACACCCTTGCCAAGAACCCTACCACCTTGACAGGCAGCTTTTAGTTTTTCCTCTATACTTTTAACTAGCTTTTGTTTTCTCCTTTATAGTTCTGACGTCCACAGTGGCCATGGATGAGGTTTAAAACAACTTAAAAAAATTTTTTTTGAGGACTCCTATCATGAAAATGTCCTGGTATTATAACTGACATGGTCACCATCATCACTGCTTCAGTTACAAAACTGTTGTGCAAAAGGACTGGGATTTTGAATATATACACCCAATTTGGCTACATTCTAAATCCAATTTAGCAAAAAATTGTTTGTTTGTTTTTAAGAAGACATAAAGTCACAAGATTGTGCTGAACAGAGAGGAGACACCAGCAACAAAATTTAGGGGTCTGGGAAGCAGACTGGTGACAGGCAAATTTCAGACAGCACATGAAAAGTGATTTCTAACAGAGTCCTTTAAGGACACTTGGCATGACAGCACCATGTGTCTCTGGGACAAGGGGTGAAGAGGATGCACATGTGAAATTAAAAAGGACTTAAAGAAAAGAAGTAAAGTCCCTAGGTCCACCTCCCCCAGAAGTCTGAAAGTTTCCTCTCTGGAGAGTGCAAACCAGAGGGTCTGTGCAGAGAGAGTCGACTAGTACAGTTAGAGCAAGGGTAATAAACCAAACCCAAAGAGATGAAAGTTATTTCAAATGCTAATATTGAGCCCCCTTGGCTGTCTCCCCACTGGGCTCAGAGACCTTTATCTTCTCTGGAAAATCTAATTAGTGCAAGAGGAAAGGCCTAAGAATACAGATATTGACCCCAGAACCCAAATGATGTCCAAATGGTCAGCCAAGGTGGATCTGCAAGTCAGCCAGCCCCCACCTTCGTGTTCAAAGCTTCCAATCAGCTTTTTAGCTGCCTGTTCTTAATCCTGAAAGGACAACCAAGGACCACTAGACATCCAAGGGAAGCCTTGAACTTAGAAGACAGAGACCAGAACAAATCAACCAAAATCAAAACCAAACACAACTGTGGGAAACAGACTTTACACACAGAGAAGGATACTACGAATGTGATGCTATTAAAAAAAAAAAAAGTCAGAGAGCAAAAAAAGAACTCCTAGAAATAAAAATCATGCTAGTAGAAATACACAAGTCAACAGAGCGGGTATATCAAAAAAAAATAGAAAATAAGAAAAGAGAATTAGAGAGTTGGTCTGTACGTTTCCACATCAAGTAAAATAGGAGTTACAGAAAGGAAAAAAAGAGAGAGAGAGAGGAGAAAGTTACCAATGAAATAATAATTCAAGAGAACTTCCCAGAACTGAAAGACATGAGTTACCAATCGAAAAGGCCCCCTGACTGCCCCAAACAGACAAAAACAGACCCGCACGAGACACATCACAGTGAAACTGCAGAACACTGGGACAAAGAGAAGATCCTACAAGTTTCTAAAGGGAGAAAAAGGTGATGTATAAAGTTTCAGGAATCAGAATGACTTCAGACTGCTCAGTGTTCATACTGAAAGCCTGAAGACAGAGGACCAATACCCTTTCAATTCTTAAAACAATTCTCCAGTTAGAACTCTTAACCCAGCCTAATGATCGTTTCAGTGTGAGAGGAGAATAAAGGTATTTTCAGATACTCCTCTCTCAAGAAGAAGGGGAAGATGTCCTTTAAGACACAGCAGACAAGGGAAGGGAGGCTCTGGGATGAGGTGCACAGAGTCCAGGTGAAGTCATAGAAGGTCACTGTTCAGATGTATGGCCACAGGGCTTGGGACTCAGGCACGTGGAGTGCTGTCGCCGCCAGGTCCTCTGCCACCAACCGGCTTTTGAACCTGACAAAACTACTGGTGTCAACTTGCTGTTCTTAGTCTGCTGTCTGAACTCAGGAACTGAATGGATTAGAATAAAGATAGGTATCTGTCCCAGGCGGTGGGCTCCAAACAAGAGAGTTAACCAAGCAAGAAGACGACGTGAGCTCCAGAAAACAAGAATTCCAACCAGGAGGAAGGGGAAGGGAATGCTGAGGATGCCCATGTAAGATGTCCCAGAACGGCAGTTACAACGTGCCCCACGCCCAGAGAGCAAGAGAGTGGAGAACTCAAAAAATGGAACTGAAACATAACACTTGCTGTGACTGCCCTTGTGGAAAGCCATACAGACAGCTATTAGAAGGTGTGGCAGGAATTAGCGAAAGGTATAAAGAAAATAAGGCAGGGTAGGAAACGAGGTAATAGTTCATTTCAAGGGGGGAGAAAAAGGAAACTTTTCTAGGACAATGTAAGATTCAGCTGTGAATAGCTGCATTCGTTGATTTAAAAA